TCTGGAAATGGACAACAAAACGAAGGTACGTTTGAGTTCAACTTCTCTATGTGGGATTAAAATTTGCTTTACTGCGCTTATATGCCTTCAAGAATTTTATGTTTTGGCCCCATTTAGTTTTTATGTTTGCTAATCATTTGCTTAGATCATTTGCACAAACTTGAGCTATTGCGGCATAAGGAAACTGGTTTTGAAATTCATCTCTCAATTGAATTAAATTTGATATTATGAACTTCCATGAAGATATATGTACCCAGGACTAATTAACTATGACAATTATAGAATAGTTCACAAAGTGGAGTTTCATATATTGGCATTATCGTTCCTCTGGATTGATGTGCATGAAGCATACTCTGTTGTTCTCTATTCAGTGCTTCCAGTATACCTCACATCATGCCACTTGCACCAGTATTAAGGACCATTTAAGTTCTTATGCATGTTCTATGTGGGCTTTGGCTCTATGAGGTCAGTTTCTGTTGAAAAACATGTGACATCGTGGATCTTATGATGAGCATGCTTACATTGAACCATTAGTTTCATAGTTTAAAGTTTAAACACTGCAACAAAGAATGAAATCAGTAGAGCAGAACGATTGAGTTTGGAGGGTCAATCACTTTTGGCTTAAACTTTGCCATCCTGTCATCAACTGCTGAAACAAGTAAAAAATGAACCTTTTTGACTTGTGACCATGACAACATTGAGGGGTGATGGCAATATTCTATTGCTTTATCTGAAGTTCGGGAAGTGTGGATTTCAGCATATATATTTGTACATGTGTATCCTGTCTGTTTGTCCATACATTGGCTTGCTCATCTCAAATGTAATTATTATCTACTCCTAAGTCACCAGTTATGGTGCTCAACTGTAAGCTGCCAAGACCAAACTTTAAGAGATGAGTGTGTTTCACTTTCGTGCGCATTGATTAAATGGATGCAATATCTCGTTAATTATAATGTCCCCGCGTCAGCTGTCACAATCAATAATGAACTTCACTATTATAAATGTAATACTCATACATTCTCTATACCAACATTATCTTAGCTCTAGAAAATAGTCAAATACTTGTTACCAAGAAATACTTCAGCTCACATTTTAAAGGAATAATTCATATCTGCAACAAGCTTTAACTCTATATGAAGAAGTTTCAAAAACCTTTTTGGTTTTTGCCTGATGCAGGGGATCTGCTGACAGAAGTGGGTGGGGAAAATGTCAGTTCTTCCATGTGTTTGTGTCTGGACTGGAATCCATCAGCTACATCTATATCAGTTGGTCTTTCAGATGGTTCCATCTCTATCGTCACGATTCAAGAGTCCCAACTAAACATACAACAAACCTGGGTAGCCCATGACTTTGAGCTTTGGGCAACCGCTTTCGACACTCACCAGCCACAGCTGGTGTACACTGGATCAGATGACTGCAGATTTAGCTGTTGGGATTTGCGGGAGAGTCCTTCAACTCTGGCATTCCAAAATGTGAAGACTCATAAGATGGGTATCTGTTGCATTGCAAAGAGTACCGCTGATCCTAATAAACTACTTACTGGAAGCTACGATGAGTACCTTAGAGTGTGGGATTTAAGATCAATGTCAAAACCCATAAATGAAAGTTCAATTTGCTTAGGGGGAGGAGTGTGGAGAATCAAGCAGCACCCTTTGATACCTGACTTGATCTTGGCAGCTTGTATGCACAATGGATTTGCAGTTGTGAGCATTGAAAGGGATAGTGTGGCGTTGATGGAGACTTATGATAAGCATGAGTCTTTGGCCTATGGAGCAGACTGGCAGCGAGGTGGTAGAAAAAGGCCTGTGGTGGCTACTTGCTCATTTTATGACCGACTTCTCCGAATATGGATGCCAGAGACCGGTGGCAACATCAATCATTCAGGTTGATATACCTTTAACACACCAGCAGTGTTTATTGTTCTGCCCAACTCAGGTTTACCACAAGGGATTCAGTATGTGTCGGCTGAACACGGGATTGCAATTTTGGTGAAAGCTGCTAGGTATTTCTTTGTTATGTCACCTGCATTTCAAGTTCTTTCTTACATCAATGCATCCACTGAAAAGCTAATGAGTAAATAAACCCATGTCCCTCATTTGGATATAGAAGGTCAATTTTAGTTCTGGTTTTTCCATTCATAATAACGAGACATATGGAATGACTCTATCTATACTTTTTGTCTTGAAAGAACTTATACAAGAAGATATAAATAACAAAAAAACCTGAAACAAGAATGAACTAGAAAAATCACATCTAAAGCGTAACTAAACTTCACATTTAAATTCAATAAATATACTTGTAAGAATGCAAGAATGATACATATACATATAACAGTGCAAGATGATTCCTGGCCACTCATATTCTCTTTGGAGCAGAAAGTGATAAATGTTGTGGGATGTTGCAACTCTAATTATTATCATTCTCGTTAAAGCTAGGAGTCTTTTATGTGCATGAAGCACCTCATGTCCCAAATTGAATCTTTCTTATTTCCATTTAGTTTGTATAAGGTGCATTCCATTACTGCGATTCTAATCTATTTCAACTTATATTAGAAACTTTACTTAACTCCTAGCGAACAGGAAAACAATAAAAATTGTTCAAGTATGGATGTTTCTTGATTTTATAAATGTTCCCAGGTTATATCATCTGTTGATAATGACTTCCTTTCTTTGTTCCACTTTGAAGGGATAAGGTCTCACAAATTGAACTCTGCCCATAAGGTGGAGAGCATTACAGCGTTGAAGGCCCAAAGAGCTCTATTGCCCTCTCATGTGTCAGTTTGGTAATGGATGGCTATCTACTTTGAATGTTTTACTCATTTGTAGGAAAATATAGCAACATTTTTGAAGCCTTTTCTTGTACCATATAGATTTTTGTGTGATGATTGATGCAACAGAAGGTTTGATGAACATTGCATCCATGATATAATTCAGCCAAAGTCCAATACTGTGTTTAGTTATTCTTTTTTTTCTTCATAACCTGGTTTGGTGGTCGACAAAGTTACAGTCTCAGTGGGGCAATTATCAGCCTATTCCTTTAATGAGTCTTAATTATATTTCTTAGTTAGTCTGGAACTTAAGTATCAGATATGTTGGTATCACATAATTATGGGTATTATATACTACGCTAGAATGAAAACTGCATGTCTGTTTTTCTCTATACTTAAATTGAAGAAAAGTATTAGCCAAAATACAAATGAATAGAAAAATGTTAGCCAATATTTGCATATTCTTTTGTTTTCTTTGTGAGTAAAGGGTTAAGCTCATTGAACTTCAGGGTTGATTTGGTTTCTGATTAGGAGCATGGAAATCATAAGAGTAAGTACTTTAGATAATGACAAATTTTGAGCCCTTCGAGCCACTGATGGTATATGGTTTGAATACAATATTTCAAAATAGCTGACTAGTTCCATGGATCTAATTAATAACTGTCCCTTCATGAATTTTAGTTCTGTTCAGTAGACCCAAATATTGAGTGGAATCTATGATGGAATCATGTCAAGTTCCTATTTATTTCTAGGTGTCGATATATCTGCATATGGGTTTGATTCCGTACTGAAATTTTGTGGTGATTTACCAGCATGATTTATATAGACATAGAAAATACATCCAGGCTACTCTGTTTAAGAAGAAAAATGGTCTGCTGAGTTCTTGGTTGTTCTGTTTGGAATATGGATAATGCAACAACAAAATCTTTAGAGATCTTCAACAGGATTTCACTCCATTGAGTTGGATGTATCATTATGTCCTTTTACCAATTTTCAGGGATTTCAAGTTTCTGCCAATAGAATTGAATAACACTTTGCATAAACATAAACATAGCTTTAGATTGAAGACAACTCTAGGAACAAGAGCTGGCTCGCTAGTGATAGTTAGCTCCGAGGGGATCATTAATTAATAATATAATGAGAGTTTCTTATAACTGCAAGAAGTTTTGTTTAATACTTATTGCAGTTTCTTTAGTGATTGTCTCATCTTCCATAAAACATTGTGATGCTGATGTTAACAATAAACGGAGTAAACAAAGAGATTAATTAAGGTTCTTTGTTTAAACTTAAAAAGTGATGGTTGTTTGTTGTTTTGTTTCCATTATAGGAAAAGATAAAAACAAAAGTAATTGGTGGATAATCTGATTGTTGTTATTGGGTGCAATTCTGAGGAGGAGAACACTGCCATTTGTGTAAAATCCATGATGGAGTATAACAGTGTATGCTTAAAGTTTATACTATGAAACACATCTCCCCCACTTTAGGACGGGTAGCAACACAGATGGTGACACACATTTGTCTGACTTTTAAGATAATGGGAGCATAGTGCATTAGTCCTCAATGTAGGCTATTAGAGATAACAGTAGTTAGCTGAGTGTACAGAGTTTGGATTTTTCTAACACATTAATAAGAGATTGAGATTGAGGTTGAATGGTAGATAAGCTTGAGTTAGTGGAAAAGGTTCTGCTCTTTTACTTTTGAGTTTTTACCTTTTGGTTGTTTTGAACATAGTTTAAAATGTCGAAAAAACACGAATATCTAAATCCTAGAAAAACGGATTATACTGATATTTTGACACTAAAAATTAAAGGAGAAGTTGTATATCCATGAATATTTGTGAAATCCGGTATATCTAATTCACGAGAAATCAGATAAATTCACCGGATATTCGCGAAATATTTTGAAATTTTGAACATGGTTCTGAAGTTCATCTTGGTTGAGTTGGGGCGACATAAATTAAGCCATCTGATGATGGGTAAATTCGTCTTTTCAATCAACAGTAGCTCTCATTTCCATGAAATCATAATGTAGCCTATGTGACCTATCACATCAGGGTCACTTGTTTTATTTTCATGGCTTGTAGTTTTTTGGTTTTCAGACCCCACTTGTTATTCATTGGCTATAAAAACCTTGCAAGCAGATTCCAACTTCCACCTGATTTTATTAGATCTCATTGGCTCTTAGCTTTTTATCATAAACTTACCTGTTTCTTGGTCTGTTGGTCATATAGGGAATGGTAACTTGTTGGGAAGAAGCTATTCATGGCTCTTGAAAAAATTATGTATGGAGTTTGGAGTGAGGGAAGTTGCACTCTCCTCCAAATAACGCCATCTATGCTTGGTCATTGTTTCTGCTAAACTCTGCAGAGCTTTTGGCTAATGCATTGCAAACCGGCAAGTCACAGAACGGCGAAGGAGACTCCATCAAGGGTCTTTCTAGTTATTAGTTTTCTTTCTATGTAGTCATTCTTATAGGGGAAGAAACAGTTTGTTCTGTTGCTTAGTGTGATCTATAATTGGCTATTTCTTTCATATAAGTTGATGTAGTATATCTACTTGTAATAGGGGAAGGAACAGTGAGTGCTGTTACCTTAGACCTTAGTATGATTTCTCTGCTGTATTTCTATTATAAAAGTTGTTGTAATTCTCTTATAGAGAAGTAACAGTTAGTTCTGTTAATTTGCTTGGTGTAATCTGTCATGGCTATGTATGCCGAAGAGTCTGAGAGCATTGTTATCTTCTTTGCAGTTTGATTGCTATGTACTGTAATTGTAAGGTGAATGAATTCTTGCTGGGTTTCTCCCATTCTTTTGTGTTATTTGACTTAGAAATCTTCTCAAAAGAGTTCTCCATTAATCTGTTCAAATATGTCTAATCAATCTATTTGCTGATGCCAAGTTTTTCACTTACCCTACATCAAACTTCTTATCTATCTTCTTTATTATATCATAGGCAGTAAGACTTTGGCCACAATGTTCAGAATCTTGCCAAAAATCCATAATTGGATATATCAATTGTAGTATATTTTATTTTGAGCAACCTTGTTTATTGGAAGTTAGTTATTGGATTTTCAATGTTCTTTTGCTTTGTTATTATCATAATATCATTGTCTATGCTGATTAAACTCTTATCTTTATCATCTTGTTTGGATAACTTCATCCCTATCAGTCCATTCTTCATGTCTCTTTCAGGGAAAAGGAATGCAACATGAAACAATGCCGAAGCAAATGGGAACAAAACAAACGTAATCATCAACCAAATACCAACGGCTGCTGTATAAAGAAACTTGAACATGGTCAAAGAATCTTGCCATGGCAAAAAGTTTTGAGTCGCAGGCTGTTATCGCATAATGTTTGTAATCATTAACAGTGATTCGGTTGCTAAATAACCCACCTGCAACTCGAAAGCACCTACATAACCTAGGATCCAAATGGTAGTACTGCGCCCCCACTTCCACTACAATGACAATTCATTTGTCTTACAGACCATTTAAGAAGCATAAAAACATTACTGAAAATATATTCCACCATAAAATAAAGTAATATAGAGAAATTGCATTATATTGCTGAAGTATATAAATTTACAGATGGAACTTTTTGATTCTACCTGATTTGCATTTTCATCCCCGGTTACCAGAACTCTCGAGATTAGAGAGCTCATAGCAGAGGAGAAGTTACAACATTGTAAAGAAAAGAACTACAATTACACACGGTGTAATTAAAAAAATGCAACATAAAAGAGAAAAAGAATAAAAAATTATGATTGAAAATTTGCGAGGAAGCTGCTCACTTTCTCCATGATCCTCTGCCATTTTGTAGGAGAGAAGCATACAGTAACTCATTCCATGTATCGGGTACTCCAGGCAAGCACCAATGACTGCAGTCCTGAGATCCTACAGCTGCAAGTTTTTCTTCTGCGGTCTTGTATTCTTTTCTATAAATTGAAGGATGGGCATCTTTTCTATAATCTGTAAGCTTACTGATGTTAAGATACACTACAGGAGTTTTCATCTTTGGTAGTAGCTGCTCGAGAGCTCTCATCTTCACGGGGTATTTAGCTAAAAATGTATCATTGTAGATTGGTTCAGTTTCCTGGTGACATTGTCCTCCTGAGTTCCATTGCCCTCCTCTGCACCATACGAATTTTTTTAGTGTAAATAACACGGATATACAAATAGGATGAGCATCAATAGAACTTTCACCATCACCAGACAAAAAAAGAGAGTGCCGAACAGAATGATCATTTCTTGGCTATTATTTTCTTACTAGATTATTCAATGTTAAACCCTGAATTTCTGACATCTTTTTT